TTCTCAGCAAATGGATGCCTTCGCTCCTCGTATTCTGTTGTGTTGTCTCCTGAGGAAGGAGCAATAATTAACTAAGGAAAGGCTGGAAGCACGATCAGATCAAAAAGATTTTTTTTTCAGCCCAGCATGCTTTTCTCAGAAATGGCCAGCCAGAAGCCTGTAGGAATTCTATCCAGAATCGGTCTTCATGCAATAGGTTTAGCCATGCAATACATGTGGTTATATCCTCAAGTAACTCAGAGAATGGCATTAACATTGGTTTGTGTCTCCTGTGCAGAATGCTGTGTCTCTGGCTGCACGGAAGGAAGGAAGGTATAGAAGCCAGGGGTAAAGAGGTTCTTGGGATTTCAGGAAGTGGCCATCAATGGGATGTAAGAGAACTGTGCTGGGTCACACCAGCCTTCTGTCTTTGAAGTGACCAACAGATGATGACTGGGAGACCACTAGCTGGTTGTGAGCCCAAGAGTGTTCACCATCTTGGACTCCAGCTACTGATATTACAGAGCCATGTTCTCTCTGGCAGGTGGCTGGAGAGCTCAGTGGTTTAAGTCTCTGGCTGTGGAGCCAGAGGTTGGGAGTTCGATTCCCCTCTGGGCCTCCTGGGGGAAGAGCCAGCCTGGGTAGCCTTGGGCCAGCTGCACAGTCCCAGAAATACTCCCATAGGAAGGAAATGGCAGATCCCTTCTGAGTACTCTCTACCTATGAAACCCTTAGAAGGTTTGCCATAATAGGAATTGATTTGATGGCACCCAAATACCTTATATGATTATGGTCTTTGGTCCTGTGTAGGAAGTGTATCCTTGTGGGTCTTGAAAAGCGAACAGATTTTATTTGGTGTACTTTTTTTGGTCCGCTGACAAACTGAGCTACCATCCATGAAAACTGGCGCTAAATAGAAAAATAATGTCAAGTCTTCCCGGTGCTACAAAACTCTGGGTGGTGTGATGTGTTGGCTAGCGGCCAGAGACGGGAAGCAGCACTTGAAGGAATGCTGGCCTCATGTCTGAGACACAACTGGGTTTGCTGAAGTATTATTGCACAGGATTTGGCCAACCCGAAGTGTGGGGGGGAGAGAGAGAGAGAGCGCCAGGCCAGCAGGGCCAAGGGAGTGGCAGGGGAGGAGAAAGAGACGAGGCAGCCGCTTGGGCTGACGCAGGCGGCAGTTGCGCCCTTGGCAATGGGGTAAACATTACACAGCAGAAGAAGTGGCATGTCAGAACGGAGCCCCTGAAGCCAAGGGAGTAAAGGGGGAGTGGGGCCTCCCCCACCCTCCCCTTGTTTACCTGGCTCCCAGCTGCTTCAAGGCCGTGGGGGTGAAAAGGGCAGAGGCCGCCTTGCCAGCGGATGGGAATGCCAAGCCACAGTCAAAGACCTCTGATGAAATCCATCAATATTGACTCTGGCTTCAAAGAGGACCCGGGTGCAAGGGGAAGACCATCAGGGCTGCTGGCCCTCCTCTTCCCAAGCCTTGCCTTCCTGTTACACAACCGCTCGGACGATGAGAGTCTGAAAACACAAGTCATTGTGTGTCATCCCCCCCACCCCACTGAGAAGGTGCAAAGTGCAATGTTCCCCCCTCAACACAATGGACATCGCTTAGCCCCCTTGGCTGATGCAACTGGGCAGCGGATGGTGAAGTGTGAGGATCAATCCGGGCCCAGGGGATTAGTTAAAAATTAATTACAAATCACATTTGCTGCACAGGTGAAATATGCTAATGATGTCCATGACAAAGAGATATAAACAAGTACATCTGTGGTTTCACCAGCTTGGTAAGTACTACCATGGTTATAGTTGTCTTCAACTCCCAACCCAGCCTCCTGTGTCTTTCCCGTGATTCTCCGCCTTTAACCTTGTTATCTAACCCACCATTTCATGTGCTACAATATGCTTAGACAGACAGACAGACAGACAGATAGATAGATAGATAGATAGATAGATAGATAGATAGATAGATAGATAGATAGATAGATAGATAGATAGATAGATAGATAGATAGATAGATAGATCATCTATCCATCCATCCATCCATCCAACTTTTCCTCCCACAAGCTCGGTGTGGCACATGCAAGACCTCTCCCTCCCCAATCCCAATCAATGACTGGACATTTGGACCCGGGTCCCACTCCAACCCTTTAAAACCACCCTCGTTGCATGGCAAGCAAGCAGAGCCCAACGCCCGGGCTGAGCAGGAGGCAATGACGGGAGCCAGGCCTGGATAGATAGATGGTTGGCCGGGTTCAGAGCATCGGGCGAAGTCTCAGGGAAGGGCTGTCTGCCTCCCTGGGTTTCTGGGTGGAGGGGGATTTAGCGGTCTCAGTGTGAGTCGTACCGGAGGGAACGTTTGCGTTCTCTCTCTCTTTGTACGTGAAGTGGTTTCAGAGGACTATGGGCTTTGTCTCTCCGCCCATTTCCATCTGGTTCACTGGCTCCCAAAAGAGTTTGCATGTATCTTGGGCATCCCAAAAATCAAATACAAAAATTTCAAAAGAAACCCAAGAAAGAGAGGGCGGGGAAAGGGCTCAGAAAGTTGCTGGTACAGGCGGACGTTTGGGCCCATCGTGCCCTTCGGAGTAAGTCCCAGAACAGAGTGCCTTGTGCCCCTTTCCATCATCAGCTGCTCCATAAGCCCTTTGGGACACTGGCCCAACCCCTTGTGGCATTGCAAGGCGCTTTGCCTCCTTCCACCCTGATCTGGGATTTTTCCTCTGTGGATCGGATGCTGAGCCGTCGTCCTCCAGGGCTACCCCTGATGTGCCGAGTCGGCAGTGCGGTGGGGACATCTCGGACTCCCCATTTATTCACAGTTCAGGAAAAATCAGGAAAAGGCCACGTGGTCCCCAAAACAATACAAGTGCAGGAATAGGTGGTGCCTTTATTGGGCCTCTGTAGAAACAAAACAAAACAAAGCAAAAAACAAACAGCAAGCTTTCCATGATGTCTCATCTTCAACAGCCTGAAGAAGATGAATTATTACCAAAAGCTCGCTGTTTGTGTTTTGGGTTTTTTGTTTTTGTTTTGTTTTATTTCTTTAGTGGTCCAAAGGAGGTATTCCCTGTTCCACTAATCTATTCAATGATTTAATTTAGATACCACTCCACTAACATTTATATCCTGCTAAATACACCCAACGACCCAGGATTCTGCCTACCAAAGTGGGTTCGGTGGTGGTCCCCAAAGGGCATGGCCAGTGGCCACCCTGGAAGTTATGCTGGTGTAACCGTGATGTTTCTGGGGCAGAGAAGTCGAAGGGCTGAGGGGGGGGCAAGGACCCCTCATGCCTAACGGCACCAGCTACCTCGCTTCCACTGCCAGCCTTATGCAACTTGGCGGGTGGCTTGACCCACAGCTGGCCGAAGTTCCTCCTGCCGTCTGACGGTTTGCACGGACTGGGCGGGGGCAGGGCATGACCTCTGGCCAAGCACACAGTGTGGGGCAAAGGGGGAGTGTCTCAAGGCCATTGCTGGAGCTGCAGCCCCACATAGGTTGGTGTGTGCACGTGGAGAGAGATGGTTCGAGCTTGAAAGTGGCCAGGAAATAAGAGTTAGGCCTCTTGACTGGGTTGGCAAGAACACCCCAGAACTTGGGTATGGGGCCAGTGGGAGGGGGAGGGCAGGTATCTGAAAGGGTGCCCATTGAGGAGGTAAACAGAGAGAGGTGTTAATGGAGTACGTCAACCTTTCTCTTTCTCCAGTCTGCTATTTCCCAACTGGGATCCATGCCAGCTGCAGGACCCAGTGGGTTCCTTGGTGCAGAGACCCTCACTGGGGGGCGGGGAGGAGGAGATACTTGGGGCAACAGAGGCCGGGGAGGCAGCACTGCAGAGCACATCAGAGACTGGCCCATCCTGCTAACTAGCAGCCAACCTGAGCCTTGTTTTCGAAGCTAGTATGCAATTATGTAATGGTGCCTTATTAGTGCCATCACATTCCATCCCGACTCTATTGTGCATCCACCCACCGGCCTGGCTCATCCATAACCCTCTGCTGCTTTAGACTGAGATGGCTGTTCTCTCACCCAAAGGTGGGGGGGCGGGAGCCTAAAATTATGCCTAGAGATTTCAGAGAAGAGAGGGGCAGATGGGCAGGTAGCCAGATCTGGCTGGAGAAGGGCATCAGAGCTGCTGTTGTCCCTGTATGGGTTAATCCTCTTCCCCGAAACTTCCTCAATCCCGGCTTGGTGTTCCTGCAATGTCTGCCAGGGACCCATTTGGGACTGATTACCCAGCTTTGCAACGTGGAGGCAGAGATGATGGGACGAGGCCAGACGGTTGCATCAGGCTCCCTTCATATGTGGGGACTGCCAGATCACATTATGTATTCATTACTTTCCCCCTCCCTCCTTTCCTCCAATGAACGGAAGACAGTGTGTGGGGCTCACCTCTTCCCCTTTCCCTCTTCACAACAAGCCTGCAAAGTAGGTGATGCCGAGAGAGAAAGAGAGCGAGAGATTTCCAAGCCCACATATGACACCCCAACGTTTGGAGAGACTCTCTGAACCCATGTGTAAGCATCCCATGCCTTCCTCTCCATCCTTCTTCAGGGGGGTAGCCGTCCTGTTCTCTTTGGCTGTGCTTGACCCTAGGACTGGTTGGGGGGGACGGGGTGGGGACACATTCGTTTTGCCTGCCAAGACCAAGCTTGGGGTGGGTAGGTGGGACTCTTCCCCCAACAGGTTAGCTTCTTCCTTTCTGAGCCCTTCATTGTTGCAGAGGAAACCTCTGAAGCAGACGTTGGGGTGGACACAACCATGAGGAAAGCAGCTTCGATCCAGGTCCTCCTCCGAAAGAGTTAACCTGCAGGCCATGTTTGCTCCAGATGTTTGGAGCCAGGCCTGTGGGGCTGGGGGTGGGTGTCTCCAGCTTGGTGGGGGGGGGAGGAGGGCATCCTTCCCCACCAGCCAATAGCTAAAGGCCTCCAGGCTGACACCCTGTTCTTGGCGAGAGATCTGGGATGGGGCCCCGCTCCGGCTGCCGGCTGCCTGTCACACATAAAAGGGTCCTGCTCTTATCTAGCAGACTCTGATCTTCCACTGAGCTAGGCTGGACCAGGCAGAGAGAACTCTCAGGGACACTGGAAGATTTTTCTCACCCTTCTCCTCCATCACCTTCAGCTTCAGACACCTTTCCGGGCATCAGAGGTGAGTTGCCGGATTTTTTTTGGGGGGGTCCATGGAGTCAGGACAGGGGTGGCCTGCTTAGCCACACGCAGGACCTTCCATGGAAACAAGGGCCTCGCTGTTACGGAATTGTTCGTTCCGTCCTGACTTGCTTTGGGCCCCACTGTTTGAGAAAAGGAGATGATCAAGATGGTGGTGAGGATGATGAAGAAGAACCATGACAAAGTGGCATTTTTCCCTGTTGAGGAGAACGATTGTACATTCATCGAGAGACACCCGGAGACACACACACCCCCGTCTCCCCATTTCTACGCAGTCCTCTTTGGAGACCAGGGGTGCCCTACAGCTCAAGTAGGGTTTTTTGGGGGACTATTGTGCCCAGAATCCCCCAGCCAGGGAGCTATAGTAGTCCAAAAAACAAAAACAAACCAACAACTCACAGCCCAAAATCATTTCCAACTTCTAGGCTGACTGGTACTCCTGCATGGTCGGTCAATGCTTGATGTGAGTTAGGGGGGAGTGGGTGGAAAAGAAAAGCACACCCCAACTCAAGGATGCCCAGAACAGGGGAAATGCCCTGGAAGAAGGAAGCCAGCGGGTCGGCCCTTGGCATCTTGGGCAGGCCAGTTCCAGGAGGAGCCCGTCCTGGGATGGACTCTTAGCACTTCCAGCAGCTTCAGGTCAGCGGCCAGATCGAAGAGGGAGAGGTTACCTCTGTCTGTCCGGGCATCTCAGGTTCACCATTTCAGTGTCCTGCTGTGGCTTGTGCTTGTTTTCCTTTTTTGTGTTGGGGAGAAAGCAGCAGCCAGCCCTGAGATGGTTCCTGGTGGCTCTTTGCCACCCCTTGACACGTGCCCACAGCAGTCAAGAGATGGTCTGCCACGTCTCCTTAGCATTTTTGCGATTAGGGATCAGAAAAAAATTGGAGCAGAGCCAGACCAGATCTTACACATTTTCCTCTCCTCTCCTCTCCTCTCCTCTCCGCAGCCAGCCCTGAGATGGTTCCTGGTGGCTCTTTGCCACCCCTCGACACGTGCCCACAGCAGTCAAGAGATGGTCTGCCACGTCTCCTTAGCATTTTTGTGATTAGGGATCAGAAAAAAAAATTGGAGCGGAGCCAGACCAGATCTTAGACATTTTCCTCTCCTCTCCTCTCCATTTCTCTCTTCCTCCCTCCCTCCCTTCCTTTTTCAACTACCCCAACACTAAGTTTTCATGCAAAGCAGCCCCACTTCTGCAGATGCATCTGAGTTTATGACCCCAATGGTCTGCCACGTCTCCTTAGCATTTTTGCGATTAGGGATCAGAAAAAAATTGGAGCAGAGCCAGACCAGATCTTAC